TGGTGGTGACAATATTGGTAAATAAAGTAGCGGTATTCATTGTAGAATTGTGTTGGAGTGTTTGTAGTTTATCGTTTCGCGTCCATAGGGGCGATTGTAGTTAAGGTAGCGGAGCTGGTAACAATATCGATCTATGTATTATCCGTTTGGCATAAATTGTGATAAGAGGTATTTATTTTCGTGTCTGCATTTTGAAATTATTTCTTATCTTAGGTTTAGTAATTTTTTTTGTTGGGTGTGGGAAATTTTTGCTACTTTTTCCTGTAGACAAAGTAGGTATTTCTTTGTTATGTTGTTGTAGGCAGGTGCGTTTTTCATGATTTCTCATCTTCATTATTTTACTACGATGGTTATCATCACTACTACTGTTATTAACATAATTATTTGCTACTACTTTACTACCACTATTATTGCTACGCCAATCCCATCCCCCATAATTGTCGTTACTCAAATTATAGTTTACACTTGTCATTGCTCTCAATATTGTAATTATTATTTCATTCTTACTATTTATCCCCCGCCCACCATTGTCATTAATCTTATTATGGTTTACCCTTTCATTGTTCCCAACATTGTAATTATTATTAGTATTATTATTTCATTCTATCTTTTTCACGGTCACCTTAATGCTGGCTACATCAACCATCATAATTACCATCGCCGAATTCTTTAATAATTATACTCTCCTTCCTCAGCAAAATTAGTGAAAATTTTCTGTAAAGATACCAATAAGTATTATAAATTAGAATTTGAACTAATTATATAAGTGTAATCGTCTATGAAACTCAGGTAAACAACGTTAAAATAAAAATATCTATCATAATAATATATAGAATCCATTGTAAATAATATAAAACCCAGTGTGATAGAAACTAATGTCTACGTACAGGTGGGCGTATATATGCGTGAGAAAGTATTATTCCGTTAAAATAATAGACGAATGATCGAAAAGATGACAGGAAGACTCCGGCCCTCCGCTTGTTGAAGGAACTTCGCTACACAATCTCAACACCGAAAACAATCACAATTGCGTATGTATACGTACTCGGACACATGGGTACTTGTCTGCGCTCTGGCCCATACCGTTCATATATCTATCTGTTTGTGTAAACTGCAATGCGTCCACCTTCATGTATATACTTCTGCGTACGTATGTGTGCCATCCCGAAACAGACACAGAGGATAATATTTTCCTCTCACTACCAAAAAATATCACCAAACATAACCAAACAGAAACTGACATAAATAGATTAAATTTTTAAAAAAATCAGTTTGTCTGACGATAGCAAGGGCGTGAAACCCAGGGTCAATAACGCACAGCTATACAAGTAAGTATGTTAGCTATTTCACTAACATTGGACGCTTTCCAATAAATACCGCTTATATATATATATATATATATACTATCTATTCAGTTTGGTCATATCTATCTATCTATCTATCTATCACAATCTGTTTCTGTATCTGTAAAACAGTATATTGCCTTCTTTCTTTCATAGCCTAGTTCTTTTTTTCACTCTCTATCTCTCCATATATATATATATATATATATATATATATATATATATATATATTCCTCGTTCTCTCAATCTGTCTCAATCACATTATGTTCATATCTTTCTCATATATCTCAGGAGATATTTAATAACAGCATCTTTGCCGGCACACGATTGATTGAAATCTGGAGAGGAAGGAGTGTTTACGCTACATTTCCAGGAAGGAAGAGCTGACATAGCAAAATTACAAACGATGGCATTTGTTACTATCTTATATAAGTTCAGTCACCGACCCCGGACACCTGAAACACTACACAACAATCTCAAACAAGAGATAAGCCTAAGATTTTCAAATCTATTAATTTACCCATGCCGCCAAATGTAAGCGACTATTTTGTTAAGCATATACCATTCCGAATATGAGGCATAAAACTAATAAATATTTAACGCATTCCTATTGCATCGGAGACAGTTACTTAGGAAACTCAAAACAAACTTACACGCCTTTAATAATTCGATGTCCTTGAATACTTACGAAATATGACGAGAATAGCATTGGGGAAATAAATTTCACTTACCTGAACACTAGCAGCTTCATTTTAAGATATCCTTCAACTTCAGATTGCTCCCTATCATTTGATGGCCCTGCCGATGCTACAAACATTCTTGGAACTTTTTTTCCGGAATAGGTTTCACTAATGTAGTCACGTGTTAGGTGTTTTGCCATTTGAAGGCTTTTCTTTTTCAAATTCCGAAATACCCGGAAAAACTAGAGAATAACATGTCCGATGAATAAAGGACCAATTCTTGTAATAGATTCCAAATTCAAATTCTCGACAATTTCTGGGAATCATGTGTAGAAACATTGATGGTGGAAAATCCACTTTTTAAGCCTCAGTTCTACCCATCAAGTTCTTGAAATCCTATCAGTATATCCATGCTGGTTCACATTTTCTTTTAGGGATATTATTTGAAATGAACTATGCACTTATGATCAAAGTATCTCTCACAGGGCAATGGCGAAAGACTGATTGTGTTATAGAGTATCGAAGAAAAATTAACCCTTCATCACCACTGAGGTGAGTTCCTACCTTCTAAGTCCATGCTTCGAACGCCTGTTAGGGCTAAAGACAACTCAAAGCTTAAAATCGAACACGTAGATACTTGCCATTGGTAAAGATGCTGGAAGAATGTTCGGATCTTCGTACCCCTCCAGAAAATACACAATTGCTACTTACATGCTCTATTTTTCAAAGAGACCAAGCATGGAGAACTGTTAGCATTTCTGGCACTGGTACTGCCCAGTACTCTCTCTCCAGCCTTGACAGAGTTCAAAAGCTATTATACGACACTGTGTGCGGTTAATTATTCTTTATTCCACGAATCTCAACTCACGGAAGAAACGCTGTAAGCCTCTCAATGTTGAATCGCAATAGCTATGGAAAATGTTCAAAAGAGTTACATTCCTCGCCCCATCAGTTCAGATGTTAACAACTAACAACAATGTTAATAGTGGCAAATCATCTCCATTTCATTCATCTTTTTCGTACGGGGTAGATAACACGCAGACATTTTCCTCATCCAGAACTGTTACTTTGTAGAACAAACTCCCAAGTAGATGCTGAACTTTCTGCTACATATCATACCTTCTTCAAGTGCAGGGTCAACTGATATCTATCTCATATATGCCTGTAACATCCTCTCCCCGCTAACTCCTTCCCTTTCCATTTGTTGTATTCTCTCTCCCGTCTACTCTCCGGCGGGGGTCGCCACTAGTTCGGTTCGGCATTGAAAGAACTCCATCACAGAGAATTTTAATTTAACTACTTTATTCACATCGACGTGTACATTTTCTAACTATCCAGTTTGGTCGTTTCCCCCATTGGGGAGCCATTTCAGACACAAAAGTGAATACGTCTACCTTATTTGATGTGTAAGAACCAAACACCCTGAAAAACTTTTTTTCTATCTATTATTCCCACACTATCTCAGTCATTCAAAATCGACTTTCTTATTATGCCTTGCATCTGACCTCAGAGTGCAACCTCAAGAAGTCAGAGCAGTGATACACTTCCTCTAAAAAATAATATTCTGCTAAACTCTTATTTAACATACCTTACTTAATCATTAAAAACAAAATAAATACATGAATTTTATTTCAACAATATTACTCTGAAATCCTCTCTGCACTTTCGTGTCTGCAAGGCATGTTACTTACATTATTTCTTTAGTGGGCCTCGCTCACATGACCCCCTCCGACATGCACATATAGCATTTCTGAAAAAGAATGAATGTAAACAACAAAAATCTGACCAGTATGTTCACGCTTCACGAACATTTTTAAACAACAACAACAAAAAAAAGAATAGCGGAAAATCTATTGTCCATTTTTGGTCACTAAATTCCGTGACCCAAGATCAACGCCCCAGACGACATTCTGAATATAAATCACTCCAGAAGTGTACTCTGACTTCTCCAATATTGTCCCGACACAGGTCAACAGGTACCACCTCAGCAATCCAATATTCATGGGAAGAACAAAATTCCTTGCCTCTTCACTTGAGACTACACGAAATGAAAATACAATCAAAAATCATACAATACATGCCAAAAGTCGCACTCCACAGCGCACAGTAAAACCATCATTGAGCCACATCCTTGCCCCATGAAATTTACAGTTTAAATATACCTTGACTCACACTTATTTGGTACTCAGAGTGTCGCAGATTACACGTTTCATTATCCCGCTATTTATTCAACCACAAGCAATTAACTACTTTGGTATTTGCGCACTACCAGATTTACTTGAAAAAATCTTATCAAATTTATCATCATTAATCTTTAATAATCTCTATTATTAACTATCTGCCTCAGAAATCAACTCGTATTATCTCAATTCTCTGACAGCCTCCCCACCGTGGAAAACAACCACACCCGCTCAACACCTCGTAACTAATCTATTACAGGCTTTACATTGGTTACAAGGTTTTTCTTCATCAACCTCGACCTTGCATCCCACAAGTAACCTGACCAATTCCTTTTGGTCGGCAGAGTCATTCTTGGGCTCCATGAGTATCTTAGGATATATTCCTTCTATAGTGAATACTTCGTAGCGTACAGCTACCATCGACTCAAATATCGTCCGGTTTCCCTATAGGCATAGGCAGGTATGACAGTTCCCTACCCCCAGGATACAGACCCAAACATATTCGGAAATCCGAAACCATGGTATTTCATGCAAGAAAAACCACTTGTACTACGGTTGCAGTACATGTGGTTGCCCCTACGGCCCTAATAGATCAGTGGCGTCGTGATCGATCGAAGGTGGGAATGCAATTAGATAGATAGATAGATAGATAGATAGATAGATAGATAGATAGAAATTCATAGATAAATATATAAATATGCATAGACATACATGCAGAGGTAGGTAGGTAGACAGATTGGTAGATATGCACAGGTAAGTAGATAGATAGATAGATAGATAGATAGATAGATAGAAATTCATAGATAAATATATAAATATGCATAGACATACATGCAGAGGTAGGTAGGTAGACAGATTGGTAGATATGCACAGGTAAGATAGATAGATAGATAGATAGATAGATAGATAGATAGAGATAGATAGAAATTCATAGATAAATATATAAATATGCATAGACATACATGCAGAGGTAGGTAGGTAGACAGATTGGTAGATATGCACAGGTAAGTAGATAGATAGATAGATAGATAGATAGATAGATAGATAGATAGATAGAAATTCATAGATAAATAGATAAATATGTATAGACATACATGCAGAGGTAGGTAGATAGACAGATTGGTAGATATGCACGGGTAAGTAGATAGATAGATAGATAGATAGATAGATAGATAGATAGATAGAAATTCATAGATAAATAGATAAATATGCATAGACATACATGCAGAGGTAGGTAGATAGACAGATTGGTAGATATGCACAGGTAAATAGATAGATAGATAGATAGATAGATAGATAGATAGATAGATAGATAGAAATTCATAGATAAATAGATAAATATGCATAGACATATATGCAGAGGTAGGTAGATAGACAGATTGGTAGATATGCATAGGTAAATAGATAGATAGATAGATAGATAGATAGATAGATAGATATGCATTCATACATGGATAGATATGCAAGGTTTTACAGGAAGTGTTAGAGAAATAGAAGATTGCGCATGGAGGAAATCAGAAACGGGTTTCAAGACAGAAAATGGTGATCGAAGTTTTTGAAAATTGTAATTATCATGGGATAACAAAGGAACAGAACAGGGTTCCAAAGGTGGCAAGCTCGAGAAAAGAAGTTGCAGTTACATTTAGATATTTCAACAATAGGCGAGTGGGACCTACATGCAAATCAAGTATCACGCTTAAATTCATGTAGTCGAGGCACCAGGTAAAAAAGGTCATCGGTGCAGTTGCTATAAAAATACTTATTTGTAGAAAAGTGAGGGAGAAACAACGTTATCAGTGAGGAAATAATTGAAATAGAGATACCTGGTCAGGATAGATTACATTACAGTTCATTCTTTGGATGTTATCAATAATCTCTAGATGAACAGGAGGAGCAGCAGACCAGATGGTACTCAGGGTATGGACAAATAATAGATTTGTAAATGTGCAAGATCGATTCTGACAAAAAAAAAACAACATCTAGCACGACACAGTGACCGCTCTTTCCTTGTCCGATTTGATCAGGAACACAGTTCCTTAAGGGACATTTGAACTCATAGATAATGTTGTTTTTTTGTAATTTTGACTTACTTGTTGTGTTGTGATTTTTTAGTATAAGGTCAGCTATCTTAATCTTTTTTTTTAATAGATAATAAATTTGATTTTTTATCCAGGTCAATTGGGGTTGTGTATTTCGTTATAATATATTGTGGACTCTTCCAATATCCTCACCTTTTCTAACCTAAAAAGACACAGTCCACATCGTACGCCTACGTACAAAAAAAACCTCAGCCAATAGAAATGGCGAGAATCGAATCAAGCAATTCCATTGGTCAATCGTTTTCTGAAACAGGAATTGCGCCAAAACGAGTTGAGCCACTTTTGGAAACCCAAATATTATAAAAAGGAAAGCAGACAGCCCCATTCAGTCAGTCTAGCTAACTCACCGAGCAATTGCCTAAATACTCCACGACGTTTCGAACCATAATTTTGCCGCGCTTTTCAAAGAACATTCACTGACTCACTTCGAACATTCGAGAACGACTCTTGAAACTTTTCACTTAATTTCTTATGCATATTGATTTATAATCATTACAAAAATAAGAAATACGAAAGCGAATACAAATACAAAATACGATTAAGGGTAGACTACTTTGACAAACTGTTTTGCAAAAACTCTTAATTTTATTATTACAATCTTTGATACAAACAAGAAAATAGCAAACATTACGATACAAGAGACATTAACCATTTCAGCATACACATACAATTTACTCACGCAACTCATACAAATATTATTCCAGTTTGTAAATGTTTAATTGTATATAAATGTTGTATTGTTTTGATCTATATATGTCTCGTTTTTTCCTTGTTTGAAATATCACGATTGTTTGTATATTTGTTTGGGACACGGTCAAACACGCAACCATTAATAACAAATCCTTCTGATAAATTAAATGACCCTAAAGTCCCAACAATATCTTAGTGAACCGGACTCAGAAATAATTACATTGGTTACACAACTACATGCTTATCCAGACGACTTACGTTACACCTATCTGATCACAGCTCCATTAGAACCCATTTAAACACACACAAAACTTACCAGACCCCATTATAAACATAGTAGTAGAAAACACAATTATATTAAGTGCATCCACCTGTAAAAAAAGATTAAAATAATGGAAGCTTTAATAATAAAAAAGAAAAGGCCAACTCTTAACAATATTAACTATGAACAAGGCCAAAATGGGCTAACCGTATTCGGAAATTGAAACATCCCTACCACACACTAAGACATACACATAACGCACACACTCAATTAAGCTGAAAAATGGAATCATCCTTGATAATGGCTAAAGCTATAGCCGAAAGCGCTCGGAAATATAAAACATGTGGACAGTTTTTACACACTCTTTGTCCAGAAAAGAAAGCTCTCGTTCGAAAAAAAAAAAGAAAAGAAAAAAATTAAATAAAAAGCTTAACCGTACTACGTTGTCTGTCGTTTTTAATGAAACATGCATACATACATACATACATATATATATATATATATAGAGAGAGAGAGAGAGATAGATAGATAGATAGATAGATAGATAGATAGATAGATAGATAGATAGATAATTCTAAAAAGAGCCTATGTATAGTTTGAAAAAGTGGTGAGACTGTTACACTTGCTTTAAGAAGAAACAGGTTTTAGGATTCTTCTAAAGTAGCCAGATTTTAATGAACTCTGAGAAATATTTAAGATACATTTTCCTTGAACAATAAACATAACCTGCCTCTGAGAAACTAAATTAAAAATCAACAATGCATATAACAGACATATATATTTAAATTCAGTGATATCATTTTCGAATATATTTTACTGACAAAGTAACTGAAGAGAGATTCTCGTTGTGGGTAATTAAAACTCAATTGAAAGCTCTGACACATACGAAAGGTCAACAATATCAACAAGACAAAACCAGAAAACTAAACAAGACAAAAAACAAAGACAAAATGACAATAGAAGATGAGAAAAGAAACAGAAACAACAAGAAAGAAAGAAGCAACACCAAAGTGCAATAGAAGAAGACAAAACCAGAAGTAAAATGGAGCAATAAAACAAAGCTAATAACAAATAGAATAATAGAGCAACGAAAAAAAATAATAAAAATAGAGCAACAAACAAAACCTAATAACAAAGAGTAATAAAGCTAATAGCAAATACAAAAATAGAGCAACATACAGAACCTAATAAAAGAAAAATACAGCAATAAATCCTAATAACAAATAGGAAAATAGTGCATACACAAACCTAATAAAAATAGAAATATAGAGCAAAAAAGTAAAATAAATAGAAAAAAAAGAGTAACAAAGAAAACCTAATAAATATTAGAAAACAGACAAAATTTAAAAGGTAAAACTCACAAAAGAAGAGTAACTTCTAGGAATATATAATGTTCCGTTTTGCGTTTACGGATTTGGGTGTCGCAGTTTATTTATTTAGGCAAACCGCGTCTCTGACAACAGAAATATATTTTTTTTATATTCCATTAAATTACCCGAAGCAATCTGGACAGAAAGTAATCAGAATCGTCGAAAAAATAACCGTACGATGTGATGGTGGTGTTAGAGGGGCAAACAACTGAGGCAAAAGAGAACATGGAATACAAAATCAACATTAAATGATACCCTAACTATAAACATTGCAACGGTTTTAATGTGTTACGCTCCAACCAATAGTTTACCGATATTTAACATATTCTTAGATTCTGTACATTCTATGCTAGCAGTTTCTTTTATTGCATTTCTCGCTTGTGGAAAAATCGTCCAGCTTCTTGGTTACCAGTCATCTTTGATCCTCAAAAATTTCAATGCATAATGAATCGTTATCATCTTAATTCTTGTCCTTTTAGTGTTCTTTCTCATTATTTAAGTTTTTTTTTTCTGATATCCATTCAAACTCGTGAAATCATTATACAAATGTTCCTAATGTTCACTTCTTATTTCCTCCACATACAACAACCTTATTTATTAAAACTCTACCTTGAGTGGTTCTTCTGCTTGAAAATAGCCTAAATAAATATAATGTGGATTCTTCAGCATGGGATAATGGTTAGTAATCTATTATACCGAGAAATGCGTTCGCCACTCACAATGTGATCTATACATGGGGTTTTGTGCCAAAAATTTGCTAATGTGTATTTCACTGTGTCTGACAAATTCGTGGCCTTGTGTCAAGTCTAAACTAATGATAATGAATGATATTTAAGAAAATATAAGCATGATCATCTCGTCATAACCTAATGTTGGCTTGGGGAATTATCTTCCGACTTACTTCCGAGTCAACTTTATCTTCAAAAATGTAAATGCAATATCAATCGTTATCTTCTGTCTTCTTTATTCCTGTTCTTTTATTGTTCTCTCCTTAATGATGTTGTTTTACATTCACTAATGATCAGTAACTCTTTGCGTATTAGTCGCTTTATTGCTTTGCTTGGGCTGAAAAATTATTGTACAATAATTGCTAAAATTAAAACATGTAACCATTTTAATTCCTTAATATTTACTTCATTTAGCAGGTTAATATGCATTTAAAATACATAAATCTACAAGCCAATATATAAAAAAAAAGAATACGAGAAAAATGTATTTATAAAAGGTCAAAACAACTCATTTATCAAATGTTTGGTGGTTTTAAAGCAAGCTTGTAAGTAAGCCAAATTATTCTCAAATGAAAATTCAAACCTTTGACCATAGACACACTTTTTGCAAATTATATACTTTAATTATTTTTTTCCCTTACGTGTGCGTCTTCATGCATATTGCTATGGTTGTGTACTAATAATTGACTCCCATGAATTTCCACAATTTATCAATCGTTTTTCTCGCTTTTGTTTATGTTTTAATATAATTTTTATTTTCTTAGTCTGATCAATATAAGACGCTGCTGAAAAGTTCTCGGTCTGACTAAGAAAACTTTCCAAAAATTAATCTTAATTTTATTCCGGTTGGTGCTTACACGAGTCTTCAGTATGGCAGGATGTTATATAAACTCTGTGTAATGTGGGGTGCCTATACGTAGGCGTTCATATACACTAAGGACAACATTTCATGGTGACCACGATAAAACAGGCGTCAGATTGCTCAACCAGCATTTTCCTGAATTAAGGGAGGTGCTGCAACATAGCTGAAACTTTCGAAAATGATGTTCCATTAATTACTTGGCATTGAAGTTGGTGGAAGCAGAAAGGAGACATCGATAAACCACACCGTAGTTCTGCTACTTAAACGAAAAACTGACATTCAAAACTACACTTTCCTTTTTGGATGTTCTTGTCCATAGGACCGGTGGCAATTTTTTTACTTCTGTTTTTAGGAAGGCTACTTTTTCGGGACTTTATACACATTGAAACTCTTTTTGTATCTGACGACGTAAGATAAATTTGATTAAAATCCTAACT